TTCAACAAAAAATGGTTTCTCAAAGCTTCAAGACTTATTGACAAGTCAAGAGAGAATGACTCTGCCAGTATTTGCAAGTCTGTGTGAATTAATCACTGGAAGTGCAGATACTATATTTCTTTATGAAAATGATTTAGTAAACTGTTTAGCCTTGTTTAACTTCAAATATGTTAAATTTAAAACAACTGATTTTTCAAAAAATCAGCAGTTCACTGGCCTGCCTGGTCATGGATCTGGCAGGGTTCATGGCAGGTCAAAACTGACTAAGCCCTTATGTTTTTTGAATATAAAGAAAAAATGGACTTACTTTTTTAGTTACTTTCTTTGCAGAACTGTGCTTGGTATCTTCATATTCAACAATTGTAGTTACCTTAACTACAAATTAAGGTAGACAAGGAAAATAAAAATTTCATGAAGAGCACAAAACACCACTTCAGACTTGTGTTTAAAGCCTGCTTCCCCACTGACAGTTACATATCCCTGCTGCTCCACAATGGTCATTCACCTGGAACACACTTCAAAACAAACTGTCTCTGTTCCTCGCAGACACTGGGACACACAGAGCAGTTAAAAGACACCAGATAATCCCTTAACTCCCAGACAAAACAGATTTACATCTCAGTGTCCTCTTTATTGCATATATTGGGATGTGAAGAAAAATGGTGTTTTTCTTACAAAGCTCGGTGGGCAGAAGGTCAAAGGGGAAGCAAGGAAAGAGGGGTGACTTTCCTAGCTCTTCTGCTATACTGTAAAGCACTAACAAGTCACTTAAATCTGTCTCTTCTCACCATTTTCAGTGATAAATCCAAGGGGCAGGATCTCTTATCCTTTAAAGTACCTCAGCAGTAGCTTTACTCATGATCCTCCACACTGAATGCTGGGGGGAACTTTCCCCTCTTGTATTCTTCAGGCTTAACATTCCCTTTACAAATGCTCAGCTCAAACCAATAAAAAAAATAAAATTTAAGAACCACAAGCTATGTATTAATGGATTGACTTGCCTTTTTTGCTGTTGGTCCTCACCAGTTTTGGATTTGGTATGTCTTCTAGAGAGCAGTCAGTCTGAAAAAGAAGTGTTTATACAACAAGGAAACGTCAACAGATTTTGTCCAGCAGATGAATATTATGTTACAGAAGCACATGAAAGCAAGTGACAGAAGTGGCATTGGCTAAACACCAGTTTATTTTTTCAGAAACATCTGGATTTCTACCAACAGATGACCTTAAAATTTAGGTAATGTTCATAACTGCACTGTGACTGGCTGTCTAGTCTTTTCATATCATCTTCTATTTAAACACACAGCCAAACAAAATATTTTGTCTGAAACATTTACAGCAGGGAGAGAAGAATTCTATTCTGTAAACTGTGATAAAATTTGAAAACACACACTTACCACTGCAGCAGCAAGAGCCACTTCCTCCCCCCCTTGCAAATCTGTAACTCAAGAAAGTGTAACTTGTTTAGATACTATTACTTGCAAAAGTTTTATCTTCAAGTTTTTATCTTACAGCCTATGAAGCAGAACAAGTAATTCAGGGTTACAGTGGCTTACATAGTTAACCTTAGTTAGCATACATGTTGCATTGGAACAAGATTCAAGTCTTGTAGAACAACAGTCATCCTACAAAACCATGAATATTTCAGTATGTTAATTCTTTGAAAGGATACTGAGTGTAGTCACATAGTATATAACAAATTCCAAGAAGAACCACACACATATATTGTACTGCAGAAAGCTAATACTTTTAGGCAGAAATTTCTCAAGAAAAGCACTGAAATACATACTCAGGCTTATGGTAAACTCAAGTTCATCAAGAGTTTTAAGTTTGATCTTTGTGTGGCCCCTGCGATTTCCAGGTGCAAGGTAGATTCCAAAAACATCAGTTCTCACCAGAATATATATCTGAGGCTGAGTGTATACCACATCTTAAACTGCTGCATAAATGGGAGTTAAAATTAAACTTGCTTGCTCATCAGCACAGATGAACAACTAGCTGAGAAAGGCTCAGTAGTAAGACTTCAAACTGAGAAAGAAAAAAATCTCTGCTGGCATTAACAGTTAGATGGACAGTAGCACTTATGTTTTCATGCACAGAAAACACTAGGTTTGTAATTATTCCTTGTCTCTTCAGACTTTAAATGAGACTACTTAAGAGCACACATAAAACCCTCCAGACTCTATACACACACTAACTCTACACCCTGTTTTACACATATCAGTCTATTTGAACAAGAGTGCTCAGTGAGCATCTGCAGGGTAACAGCTCTGCTGATTAGCTTAAAATACTCACCAAACAAAGCAAACTTGTTCATAAAAGTCCCCAAGTTTACAGGTTTTCTCACACCAGTCACAAACACATCCTCCCCTCGCAAGGACAGGGCCACTCACACTTACTGAGCAAGTCTTTCCTTTTCATTTTCCTGATGGCAGCCGGCATCGTCAGCAGCTCCACTGCAAACGCCTTCTCAGCTGTTTGCAACAGCGCATCGAGCTCCTTCTTCATCTCCTGGACGTGCTCCTTGGCTTCAAAACAAAACAGGCTTTTATTGCCATGCACGTTACATATTTCCAAGTATAAGCGCTGGAAGATCGCATTATACAAGTTAAAACAACGTTTTATAGGGAGAAATCCAACTCGGGAGTCGCAGCGCCTGCTACCAGCCACTCCGGGGGACGAGGACCGCGGTCCCGGCCCGGGGCCTCTTCCTGCCGGGAGCCGCTGTTCCCTCCACCCATCCCGGGCAGGGAAGTGCCGGCGGGCGGGCACCACCGCCTCGCCCCGGGCAGCTCCTCCGCCCCCGGCCATACCCTGCTGGTCGAAGTCGCTGAGGAAGAGCGCGATGCGCTGATCCTTCTTCTCCTGGGACAGCCCGGGGTGCTGGTCCCGCTCCTGGGGCAGCGCCCCGCGGTCCGGCTCCACGCCCGAGTCCGAGCTCTGCCGCTTGCCCGGGGGCTTCCTCAGGGGCATGGCGACCATCCCGCCGGGAACCGAGCCCGGGACCACGGGGAGGGCGGGGGATCCTCCCTCTCTCCGCCCCCGCCCGCGGGCCGGGCGGACACACCTCGGGGAGGGGATGGGACGGACACACCTCGGGGAGGGGATGGGACGGCCCGGAGCGGGGGACGAGGGTACGAGGGGGATCTCCGGGTGCCCCGTCTCGGTGGTGCCCCAGGGATGGCCAGAGAGGCATAAAGCCTAGCCTAGCCTATCCTGTGCTGTAGTGATAGCACAAGGAATAATGGGTACAAATTGAAAGAGGGGAAATTTAGGTTAGATATTACAAAGAAATTTTTCACTGTAAAGGTGGTTAGACACTGGCATAGGTTGCCCAGGGAGGTTGTGGATGCCCCACCCCTGACACTGCTCAAGGCCAAGTTGGATAAGGCCTTGAGCAACCTGGTCAAGTGGAAGATGTCCCTGAGCATGGCAGGCAGTTGGGACTAGATAGTCTTTAAGGTCCCTTCCAACCTCTTAACATTCTATGACCCTTGTGCCCTGACAGGAGCTGGGCAGGCTCACACACACAGCTTGGTCCTGGTGGAACAAATTAAGTGTGCTGTTTTGTTAGTTGTTTAAAGCAGCCACTGCAAACCTGAGCACACAAGGAGGGAGTGCTTCCATCCCTGCTGAGAAGTGACCAAGGCCAGAGGGTGTCCAGGGCCTGGGGCAGGCAGTGGATGTGCTGCCAGGGCTTGGACCAGGTACTGGGAAACCTTTCTGCTCGACTGGGAAACCTTTCTGCCCTATTTTAGAGCCGAGGTTTGGGTTTAGATACTTCACTGCTGCTCAGTGTGCAGAATATGCAAAGCTTCAAAGCCAGCAAAGTGAATAACCTGTTCTGTCTCATGCAAATGGTCACAGGTTGTGTAAATGCTAATCATGTGAACACAGGATTTAATGAACATGTAATAAAGTGGAACATTAGAAAGGCATGACTACACCTAATATTTGAATATTCAAATCCATATCCTTAAAAGTAGAATCCCTTCAAGAAACATATTATCTTACATGCATCCAAATAAAAAATCATGCCAGAGGTATGAGCATCTTCAGTTTTGTACAAATTTGACCAAGGAACTGTATAAAAAGGAATTTAGACAATATTTTAAAACACTAGTGGTTTTCCCACAGCATATATAGTTGATGCTGCAAGCTCTCTGTAGTAGTTTTTTCTGTATCATATGCATCTGGCACAGTATCCTTATCTCTTGAGCCAGATGGGACAGCCTATGTCACTGAAAAAAAAGCTGTAAAAAATCTGACTGATAACTCATAAGCATTCTATATCAGATCATGTTCTTGTTTGTAAAACAAACAACATACCTCTTTCCTGCCCAAAACAAAAAAAAAAAAAAAGGGGGGAGGTAAATGTTTCTGTTCCAGAAAACACTCAAAGACCAGATACAAAGAAAAGAATAGCCTGCTTTCGGGGTATTTTTAGCAGTGCTGGCATATGCATATATGTTTAGGGAAGCAAGACTAACTTTCCTTTCCCTAAACTTCATTTTCTTTGGAATTATCAAGCACCACTAAAGTAATTCTAGAGGTATCACTGCAAAAAGATGAGATTGTGTTGCTCTGTAAATTTAATCTCATATAAACCATGTAAGAATTTTTTTTAAAAGGGAACAACCAACAATACCAAACAAACCCCAAAGCTTTCATGACACAGTTGATCAGCCTCAACTGACTGGTTGATCCTCTCTATAAAGAAAGAAGTCTGGCTTGCCTAACTCCTGCCTAATTCCTTACATTATATGATTACTATGAGCGTAAATTTGCCCAAGACCATCTCTATTTGCAGTTCTGCAATGGTAGGAAATAGTTTTGTGGTAACCATTTGGACAAATTTCAAGTCCATTAATTGAAGTGATGCAGAGATTAATGATCTGGTACATGGATACTGGTTTGGACATGGAGTTAATGTGTCATAGTGCAATCCAGCTGGTATTGCTTCAGTGACATAGGAAACAGGGAACTATTAACTTTTTTTAACATGCTTTATTATTTGGAAGTCTCATACATCTGAAGTACTGTTATAAGGAGCACCTGTAGGAAGATCAAACCTAGAAGCATGCATTTGAAAGTAAGGATTGTCTGTCATTAATTAAAGATTTCAAAGACATGGAAAATAAAGCCTCTTTTCTTAGCTTTACAGGATTGTTCCACAAAAATGCACATTAACCTTATCATAATACATATAAATATTGTGGATGGACAGTAGAAATCACCACCCCTCCACATGAGACGCACCAAGAAAAAATTGTTATCCCTTATAATGTCACAGACATAAAAGGCCCCTTAATAGAATGTTTAGAAAAAACTCAGTTTATGTCATTATATTTTGATTTAAAAGTCTAAGAATTGCTGTCTCAACAAAACAAAAAGCCTTTCACACCTGTAAATTATCTTAAATAATGTATAAATATATGTAAATTAGAAACTTGTAAACATTTACATTTTTTTCCAGAAGTATCAGGTGCAAATGCAAGGCAAATATAAAATCTACTGACTTATTAGATTACAAATACTACCTCATAAAAAAGCTGTAGTTACAAAAATATATTAAAAAAATCCTAACTCCCATCGTTAGATCTTATTTTCAGTCTACGCTGCTTTACAAGTCCAAAGCCAGATCTCATTTGGACACATTCCTAGAATGGGAAAGTGCTGTTTGTCTTATTTTTACATCAATATTCTGATCTCCTGCTACAGTTTTGCTTTCTGGATTTGTTTCATTAGTGCACATTAAGGATGCCAACAGATAAAAGGTTGTATTTATCAATGGATAGTAGCAGCATAAATATTCTCAGTCTGCTGTCCTCCCACAGGTGCATTTCTCCAAGGATAAGTGGATGATTTTTCTCCAGGCCTCCACAGTCACTCTCTGTAGCAGTGTGCCATTTCTATCCATGAACCTGGGACCACTGGCAGGTGATTGACAGGGACTAAATTCTTCTCACAGACTTCAGTAAGGAACTGTGAGAAGTACACCCACTGCTGACACTGTGTCATACTGGTAGCTGCTCTTGCAAGGACAGTTATTGGCAATACCTCTTGTCTTCCACCCATAATAAATTGGCACAGGTTTATCCATATGGTGATTCTGTAGCCCTTGGCTTTAGTAACTTGGACCAGCAGAGGATGTTGAACCAGCTACAGAGGCAGCCTAACAAAGTGCTAATAGACATGAAAATGAGTTTACTTCTAAATAATAACTTAAATTTAATGACTGGATTAAACGTGATATCTTAATGAATAAACTCTGTAAATGCTGAGGCAAAGCCTGACAAATGCTAATACTTTCACATCTGAATACTGGAAGCTCTGTTCCTTAAGCCTTTATCAGAGCTAGCAGGAGGTGTCCAGCTTCCAGCTCTAGAGAAACAGAAGCTGTTCTTTGTTTTGCAGGGAAACTGGCATAGATTAGTGGAGTCATACAGCTGTACTCCTAGATACCAACCTTGTTGAGCCAGGCTTTAATAAGCACTCAGGGTCATTCAGCTCGTGGCATGACTGTGGAAGATTTAAGTGTCAGCTGTACTATCATTCTCTTTATGCTTGGTTCAAGACATTTTCCTTTAAAGACCTTTTCCTTCATTAGAAATCCCCCCCCAGTATTTCCCCTGGTAACAACATGTGTTAGTCTTTGCCAGTTCAAGCTGGATTTTGGCCACACCGTGGGTCTCCATCATGTGATTCCAAACAAATGTTCTCCATAGACAGAGTGGTTCTGGAAGTGTGTTATGTTTCAGCCCACCTGAAAGGACTGACTGTGCTCACATCTGCTTTGAAACAGTACCTTACTATGTTCCATGTGTATAAAAGAAGTGAGTTAACAGGAGGCTCATGGAGTTGTTATGAGAGGAAATGTTCAGCGCTCTTGTGCTGGGATTTTGTGCTGAACAGCACATGAAGAAGAAGATTATATTCCTCATTATGTTTCAGTTTCATAAAAATAGGGTTCGAGCAGACATTGTATTCACTCCTCTAGTCAAAACTGTATATTCCATCCTGATTATGCTGTGATGGCAGGATTTCTTTCTAGCAGAATTTCAGAGGTATCTGCACACATGTGCCAAAGATTTTTAAATAAGCATGATGTACCTACATCCTTAATCAGATTTGAAGACTTCACACTTAACAACAATAAAAATTAAACCAAACAATACCTATAATGTAGGGGCTTGAGTTTTTGTTTAGTAGAATTTTAGGATGGGAAACATATCCCTAGCTAAACAATTTATCTTGGCATTTCCATTTGGTAAAAAAACCCCACATAACAGTAATAATGTTAATGAGCAATTCCCTTTCCCAACCTATTGAGTCAAAAGTCCACCATGTAACTTCCAATCAAGGCACAAAACCATTTATTGAGTCTTTCTTCTCACCACTTTCTTCACATTCTTCCCCTTAAAAAAAAAAAAAAGTTGGTGTAACAATGTCTTCTATACAAGACATTAACTTTTTAATAGTCCAGTAAGTTGTAGCAGTATCTGAGACTGGTTCTATCTGGTTTGAATTTAGTTAAATTAGATGAACAGCACATTCTCAGCACATCTTTGTTCATTGCCTTCATTTGCTTTGAAGGGGAGGGGATGAGGGGGAAAAAGCCACAGTAGTTTCATGTTTTTCAAGAAACTTTATGTAGAAGTCTTTCACTTTCTCCAGTAGGATCTTCAGCTTCTCTACTGGAGAAAGAATGGTCATTCTGAAAAATAATATTTAAAGAAAGAAAAAAACCAATCCACATTATCTGCAGAACAAACTAAACTGTGATCTTTGCCCAGACCTCCATTAATCTCAGGGTACATCAAGTAACATGTTAAGGTTAATACTTGTTTTGATGTGATTCTCTTATTTCATGCATTTATACTTTAATTGAACTATACTATTAAACTAGAGCAATTTGTTTCAATTGGTTAGTTCATAGGAATTCAAGAAATGTCATTTTCTATTGAGTAGTAAAGAAGGTCATCAGCAAGAAACAACAGCAACTTGATTTCCATAGTTGGGCAGTTATGCCAAATTATACCCAGCTTTTCGAGGTTTAGGAGTGGGCAGTTATCAGGAAATGCACAATCCTTCTTTAACTGAAAACTGAATTCAGATGCACTAAAACAATGCAACATCCTACTGTAGTTTTTACTCCTTTTTTTCCTCCTCCTGCATGATATGAAAATCCCATGGAGTATTTATGGCAGATTGTGTGCAAGACCTACAGAACAGAGTGTTTTTCCCACACTGGTGCAGGAATGGACTCACTGGCTTTTCCTGGAGCTGGATGTACCCAGATATCTCACCCAGCTGGCTGTGTTGCAGAACTACCAAGGCTAAAGATACCTTCTGTTATATTGTTTCAGACTGAAGAAGACTAAATTCCATGATAAATTCCAGCTATCGGTGGCTTGGCTGGAGCAAAGTGCTGGTTATTGGAAGCAAAAGCAACTGAGTTTATGTTCACAGTTTTGGTATCGGATTATTTAGCTCAACACCTTGTTTTGGCAAAGTGAAAAGTTATTCAGTGTTTTTAAGGAGCAGTTCTATAGCGAAAATACTGCACTTCTAATGCAGTTTCTCCATATGGAAACACTGTTTAATCCCCCCTCCTCCCAAAGAATGCAGGGCAATTTTTGTAATTCTATAGCCAATTTTAAGATTAAAGTCTAAGATATTGTTATTGTTTGTAATCCTAGAGAAGGCATTTCAAATACCAGTGTATAAAAATAGAATAAAATTATGTCAGCAAGCTATGAAAATACCACAAAAACCTGAATAGCTCATCTAGCAGATCTAGTCTTTGGCCTAGATCAGATCACAGAAACTGTCCAGTTTAAAGTGAGACAATGTACACTGAAATAAAAATCCTTGTATTTAATCAGAAGAGAAAGTATTTGGATGGTACTTTGCTTATTACTGTTAATTTGATTTCAAACAAACAGAAACTGTACCTGAAATGGTGGGTTCCTTCTCTTTGGCCAAATCCACTTCCAGGTACAACACATACTCCAGTCTCTTCCAGAAGTTTCATGCAATAGAACATATTAGGTGCCACTTTATGAGCCTAAGGAAATGGATGCTTTGAAATTATTGAAGTGAAAATATTCCCAAATATACAGAATTTCATTATTCTTTTTTTTCCCCCTGAAACCTTATCTTACCTTATTAGTTCCTTATTCTATTTACTAAGGAAGGTGAGGAACAGTTGCTAAAGGGACAGTTCACAAGTTCACACTGTGAATTAAATAACAGTACTGCATGGAGGAACAGGGCTGAAGAACCTACACAAAACACTCACTTCAAAAGAAAGGGTTTAGGTAATGTTATTCTCCTTGACTTGCTTATAACTTTTTGTCAAAAGTCTCAAAATTGTACTTAGAAAAACCTAAGGCACTGACATTTGATAAGATTAAATTAATTTGAGAACTGTGTGTTCCAGTTCTGTTGGCAGTTACTATTTTTCCCCCCTGAATTATCTGCTGATTAGGAAGTCCCCAGGAAAGTTCTTAAATACATGCAAGTTATAAACCTAATCAAATAAGCAACTGAAAAACAGCCCTATTTTTGTTCTCAGCTGTGCTGATAAAATTCCCTTTAAAAAATTAGTATTACATATCGGGTATCAGAGCTCTAGTTAGGAACAGAAGGATTTGTTATTTAGTAATAGACGTTATTAACCCAAATGCACAAAGGTAAAATTTGTAAGGAAACCTCCTTCCCTCTTTCTCAGACTTGCTGAGTGGGGCTTCTTTTGCAGGGTCAGTAGAGCACACTGCCATTCCCAATCCACTGCCTCCCTAACCCAGGCAATTGGGCAGCAATTTGGAATTGCACAGGTCCAGCTACTTGTATGACTTAAACACCAGTGTCCTTGGGAACACTCTCACCCTGAAAGCCTCACCTCTGTGATGAAATGCTCTGCTTTGTTTTCCTCACTTAAAACAAAGGTCATGTTATATAGATCATACATAGTCTATGAAGTACTGCTTTTGTAACTACCTGAGCTTACTCTGTCTCTGGAATAAAAACATCATTAGAAATGGCAGGCACAGGCCAGTGAAGGTTAAAATTAATTGAGGTAAAAGTAACCGACTGACCTTTGCTTCCTCAATGGCTTTGGAAGGAATAAAGATCTGTGGGACAGCATACATAGCTCCTTGAAGGGGACTGCAGTGAATGCCTAGTATCTTGTTAAACATGTCTTCTGTTAGTTTGGCTTTTTTGGCAGGATTGTTCAAAACAGTCTCCTTCTCCTGTTTAAAAGGGAGGTCTTTAGTTAGACACATTTGAAGTGGCAATAAAAACTCCAGAGGAAACCATGATGCTTCCCTGGATTAAACATTTTTAGGGCTTTGTTATTAGAGCAAACAATGTTCCAAATTCCAGTTCTGCTCTCAAAGGCAGCAATGCAAAAAGGCATTAGCAGGATACAACTATAAAGTGTTGCAGACAGACAATAACATGCAGAAGTCTCTATCTGTGTGCCTTCTTACATTCTTCCTTCTGAGCATCCACTCTTGGCTGTTTTTAAAGACCACATTGGCTGAACTTTTGATCTGACTCGATAATGTAATTTCCTAAGCCAGACTCAGTTTTCTTTTTACCAGTGAGAAACTATGTGTATACTTTAACACAGATTACCACATTGCTCAGTGTACAGAGGCACTGGATACCTAAGAACAAGACTGATTTTATAGCTGTATTTGAACTTACATTCCTCTTTAGATCTTAGTAAGAGCAGATCTTATTTAGTAATTCTTTTGTCATATTAAACAAGGAAGAAAAGTTGAATTTACTGGCAAGAACACTGATCTGATAATGCCTCCTTAGTATTTTTAAATGTAGTCATATTGAATTAATTTTAAATACACTGCACAGTTCTATAAATTTGTGTTATTACAGCATTGTCTGAGGAGAAATGAAAGAGGACTCGTCTCTGTGAATATTTTGAGTTCCCAGTACTTAGGACAGGTTTAGGAAATGCACAAAAGAACAAGCATGTTATTGCTGACCTCTATGAACTGTGCCTAACATTCTTCTCCAGGTACTGCAGGATTCACTACAATATCCATTGCTGCTTGTCCTGTGACTTGGGGACAAAGGCGAGCAGAAAGCGGCTTAACAAGCTGTCCTTTAATTTCTGGGTGAAAGTAAATGACCTCCACAAAACATCCTCTGCAGCCACATCTGTGACAAAGTGAACAGAAAAGATTGGTCAACTTTGAGTGTATAAATACTGGGAAAGCAATGACAGTGACTGCAGAAGAGGAAAGGCAATTAATGAGACTCTTGCAATATGTAACATGCAGGTTGTTGAAACAGCTCTTACACTGATAATGGTTTAAGATGGAACTACATGGGATGTCACTAAGTCCTAGTATCCCATACAGAGATAAAGGTGTTCATGCAGCTTCCCTGTCAGGTGAGTTAACATGGATTGTTTAATCTTCAGAACAGGACCACATGGCTGCAGTAGCATATATTTCATCAGAAAATTCTTTTTTTTCTATCTCTTCCTCCCCAAAACAACCAAACCCAAACATTTACAGCATTAGACATCCCAGCAATTATTGAGCTGCTCATCTGACTGTTGGAGACCAATTTTCCATTATCACAGGTCCAGACTGCGACTGTAGGATTTCACCTCTGTGGAAATGAGGCATTAGGTGTCTGAAATATATGTGCTTATTATTTAGTACTTTGAAAACCACAGAGCTAATCCATTACTCTGTGCTTTAAATGCTCTTTTTCCTTTTCTTGATAGTTTTTAGTTAAAATTCATAGAAGATGGGGGATTACTTTCAGGTCAGTAACATGAAAGGGCTGTCCAACCAGATTAATGAGGAAGATGAAATAAAAAAAACTAAATCAGACTTACCTGCCCATGTATCCCTTAGAGGTGGAGTGAAAAGAGGCCAGCTCAACATTGTTTTAGTACTCAGGTCCCACCTCATAAAGAATCTTTTTGAAAGAATGGAACTGGCATCCTTCAGAGTACACATTGTCCTGGTAAACCTGAACAGTCAGAAGACATTAATGTGCTCTGTTCTCCAAACTAAGGATAAAACATGGCTTTTTAGAGAGGCAGATCTGAACTGAAGAAACAGTGGTAACACTCAAAACTTAAGAGCTGTTAGAAGACACAAGGTTCTTTGTTAAGTAATAGTTACAGTCATGATACACTTTATATCATGTGACCATAGTTAAAGGTTCAGCCTTTGGAAGAACAGTGAGCTTCTTTGTACACAAGTTAACCTTTACTTGCACATTTAAATTGATTTTCCTTCTGTTTCTTTCATTTGAAGTGGTCTCAGCTTCACACAGGTCTTCAGGTCAGTTCCAACAAAGTTCTTCCTTGTGTTCCCTACACTTTCTCTCTAGTTCAAATCCAGATCAAGCCACCTGTTATACTGATCCTTTGATACTAAGAATCTTGAATGTTTGTTCATGTCTTAATATGATAACAGAGAATCCATTCCCTGTACCACACATGGAACAGAATTACACTTCATATGAGTACTCTCAGCTGTGCTTTTGAGAGAACAGAATATTCCATTATCTCATCAGCCAGAAGAACAAGTTTCTCTTCACAGGCAAAGTGTATCACATCTTCAATGCACTTTCTGTTTTGCACCTGTCCTATAGTTTGATTTCTGAAGCAAGAAGAAAGTTAGCAGAGCATAGATATCTATATATCTAGATATTTGGATAGATATCTTTTCACCCAGACCTAGTAAGACTTCAGCTTTTCAACAAGATATCCCTCTTTCTCAGAAAAGTGCTATTGAACTTAAGAATTCAGCTCACCAAGTATGAAATTAGGGAGCATTTTTGGAGGAATGATGGTTCAAGGTAACTTAGTCCATCTCAAGCAAAGGAAATGTGAAATGACTTATTAAGAGTACTCTGTGTATAACTTATAATTTTAAATTATAAGTTATATAATTATATATATAATTATATAATTACCACACATGAGAGGTAAGTGGGATCTAGTTTCTCACTGATCAACCTCAACTACTCAAAAAACTAAATTCTGAGGGAGGCAGTGGTTGCCATGGAGTTCAGAGAGTATCTTTTGCCTCTGAGAAGCAAAAGGCTACAGGTCATGCCAGAGGCAAGATCTTTCATAAAGACCAAAGGTGACTGAAAGTCATTCCACAAGTCTGCAGAAGTTCAGTGGAAGCAGTGGCTTCAAATGGGATCCAGTGAAGTGAACCTGCTCCCTACTCTCTGGAGTTCCACAAAACTGAAAAAATATTTCTGAAAATACAACATACTGTCCTACTTAGAGCACTTATTCTAGAATTCAGCTTTACATATTTGATGTGTATTTAGGATTTGCCTGCAATGACAAATGAATGAAAAAGAAAAAAAAATTGGTCTTAAAACCCATCCATTAAACAAAATTCTCAGACCCATGGGATTTCTGGGGTTGATGGTGCAGAGAACTTTTGGGTTGCAATACACCTCGGCTTCATTCAAGACACAGCAAAGTTCATTCACATCTAGATCCCAGCAATTTTCTTCATCCAAATAGTAGTTCACCTGGATAGCACCTAGTTCAGATATAGCTGCTGAATATAAGGGATATTGTGGTAGAGGAATCATCACTCCTGTTCAGGAGTTTCCACCTCCTGAGATCAGGATCTTTAATACTGCCTTGTGAAAAAAAAGTCACACACCAGAATTAATAGTAAACTCTGGAATAAGTTACTGATATTCCTTTCTTAAAAACTCCAGAGTTAAGGTGGATTTCTATTCCAGAAGCATACAGTCATCTTCTCATATGAAAGGACATTTATTTATTTCAAGTTGTTACTGACTGAGGATAGTCTAACTCATCTTAATGGAATTCCTCTGCATGTCATGGCTTCCAGTGATCATGCCTGATTAACTGCAAAATTTAGGAAAAACATTCTGAGCACAACGCTAGAGGGAAAGCTGGAAACAGGAATATCAAGATCATGATCTTTCTGCTGTGCCCAGTTATAAGCAAAGAAGCCTCAGCTAGTTCTTGCTTGTTGCCTTCCATTCACTTTATCTCACTAACCACAAGAGACCAATAAATAAAACCAGAAATTAGAACTGGGGCCTGTGCAGATTCTCCTCTGGAACAGTGACCTGTTTTAGATTAGGAGCAATTGTGGCCAGCTGGGAACAAAACTGCAGTTGCATTATGTTTCCATTTTCAAGACCAAAAGTCTGCATGTCTTGGAATGGAAATATGTAGTTTATGCCCAGAAGATACAGGCAGAAATGTAATGTTTGTGCTAAGGTTAGTCCAGAAGATTTACCTCTGTGTGTCTGTGTGTAGGCTTTTTACATGTGAATTAAATAAGAGTGCATTTGGTACAGGCAGTAGAGAGACTTCTTGCCTTTATAACCAAGGGAGAACTCTGATGTACAGGTGCAATCAAAGCAAGCATCCTTATCAGCATTTAACTGACAGCGCCCACACTGCCCAACCTGCTCAGGTGCTGCTCCCCTCTCCTCCGCTGCCCCTCGGTACAGGGCTCGTCCCTCGGCACCCTCCTCCAGCAAAGCTCCATCTTCAGGCACATTCAGGTGCTCCCCCAGGCCCTACGAAATGCTCTCACTGTAGTTCCTTGTAAGATGCCCGGGGACCACTCCCTCGGCCTCTCCCCGCGAAAGGTGCAGCGGGGTGACTGCCGAGAGCTCCCCCAGTAGGGCCCGCCCCTCCTCACCCTCACGGCCACACCCGGGGCTGCCCTGGCTCCTCCTCATCCTCACGGGCCACACGCGAAGGGGTGCAGATGTGCCTTTCCGCCAGGAAAGGCATCCCTTTCCCATTCCCCGCCCCGCTCCTCCCCTGGCGCACCTCCCACTGCCCCCCGGGGCTCCAGGGCCGGCGCCCGAAAGCAGAGCGGCGGCCGGGCCGCAGTTCCGCGCTTCGCGCTCCGAGCCCCGCCGTGCCGGAGCGGCGGGTCCGCCCCAGCCGTGCCGAGGGCCGGTCACCGGGGGGCGGCAGAGGCCGCCGAAACACAACCGCTCCCCCCCCAACTGCGCATGCGCGGCTCTCCGCGCAGTGCCGGAGACGCTCGGGAGTCACTGCGCATGCGCCCTCTACCCCCCGCCGGGCCCGCGCGCGGCCCAGTCCCGGAGCCCCCGCCGGGACCGAGCGAGCCCGTCCTGCCGCTGCCGCCCCTCCGGGCACCTCCCGGCCAACTCTGTGTCACAGAACGCGACAGGGACGCCATTAACCAGCTGTGATTCTACTCAAACCTTCTTCATGTATTTTTGCTTTTTGCACTGCACGGCGACATCACATTCAAGTATCTGATTGTAAACGTTGCCACTCCAAGGAAACCACTATGAAATCTATCAATAAATTAAGCTCCCGTTTAAGCCCTTTACAACAGAACTGCTGCGGTTGCCCCAGCTTTTGGAAAACTTTTATGTTAAAATTTAAAACATCTAAAGAAGTCTAAAAAAAATACACAAATGCACAACAACTTTAAAGGAAAGAAGAAAGTCAAATAAAGGAATTTAGTATCTACTTCATTCCATTTATACAAATAAAGAACTGTGATTCTTAAATATATAAAACATGAAAACAGAAGTAAACTATTATCAATAAAGACATCTTTGAAAATTCACCTTTTAACAGAAAGTACTTAAACTATAGTACTTTAAAACAATGTGAGCAGCACAGCTCAGTTGTATATTTGCAATCTGACAATTATCTTGCCTTTTTTTGTTTTTGAGGTGTAAGAAACTCAGGAAAAAAATACTTCTTCCATTAACGGAAAAATAGTAGACAGAAAGACACTTAAAGTCATCAGCCAAGGATTTTCCAATTACTATATGCTGAGCAGTAGAGAAACAGTCAAACATCTACCCTGCCCCACCCCCCCCCCATCTCTCAAAAATAATGTTTCAGTGCTTTGGATTAAATGATAACCAACTGAATTGATTTTGTCGTCTTGGCAACACTAAATCCAATGTCAGATCTCTTTGTTCTTTTTCGGAATCCACCAGCTGATAGCCAAGCATGTTTATAGCACCTTTGCAAACTTCCTGTACTTTCTTAACTTTCTGAAAGGGAAGAACGTTTCTCCAGGCCTGTGAAACACTAACTGCATCTCGAGACGTGATTTTGAAGGCTTCTTTTTTTTTTCCTGGTCCCTGTCCATGTGTGATATTATAGATCCAGCTTTTGAGCCTGGGGGTCAAATTAAGATCTGCAAATTTGTACATTTCTGAGATTTCTGATAATGGATCTCTTACCAGATCTTCAAAACGGATCATTAAATAGCGATTTTTAAGGAAATTAGGTGGTTTTAGAGTAGCCGTTTCATAAATCTGAACATGACTTCTACAAACCTCTTGCATTACTCTGTATTTGCTGTCTTCCACTTTAGTGCCATTGGTACTCAAGACAATTCCATTGTCACGGGCTAAAGCTTTCACTGATTGTTCCCGTGACTTAACGACTGCCCTGGGGTCACGGACCAGGTGAATAATTTTGAGATTCAGGGATGGGTCAGTGAGAAGAGGGTAGAGGACCTTCAAGTCAAAGAATCGAACCTCCTTGATGACAACATGGCTGTAAGTTTTACAGGCTTCCTCCACCTTGCTGAACGGATACCGTCCACAAAGAGTCTTGCAGGCCATTTCGCTGGTAATGTCAGTGCGTTGAAAAGAGTCACAGGCAGGAGCTGAGCACAGAGCCCGACTCACTGCCCACTGGAAAAGATCGGATAAGTTTCTTTTCCAAGGCATGTAAGCATCAAACACAGACATGTCACACAGGAAGACCGACCTGACTAAGTCCCGCACTGCCATGTGTAAGACTTTGGCACTGTTCTGAGACATCGTAACCCACACGTGCCACGCTGGCTCCATCAGGTAGAAGACGCTGGGGTGCTGGCTGAAAAGCTGCCCCACAAAAGAAGATCCCGACCGCCAGGAGGAGAGAATGAGGATGTGGACTTGTGATGGTTTCTCCTCAGCCTGAGGCATGAAACTACTGTACCGGGCAAACATGAAGAGTAAGAATCCAGTCTGAACTGTAACAAAAAGTATAACGACTGTGCTAGGAATCCGAATCCTTGCCATTCTCACCGAGGAAGAGCAATAGGAAAAGCTGAAAAAGAGAAGAGAAATGCTGGTGAACCATCGCTCCTGTGGCACAATAACAATAAAACTTACACAATAGAAACTCTTGCATTAGTAAAACCTTCCTTCAAATAGGTGGGTATGTATGTGACACTAACTGCTCACTTAACCAGTTGCACTTGGAGATAGTCATCTGCAGGTGACAGCTGTTAGAAACTGAAAGGAAGTAATGTGTGACAGTAAGATCACTGCACAAATAAGCAAATAAGTAAGTGTTTGATGTTGAAGAAAACCTGGGGTTGATGCAGCTCAATTCTTGGATTTAAAAAAAAAAAAATCTACGAAGTACACAAAGCCCTCAATTTGAATACTGGTAAATACTGCCAAGGGATAAAAAAAAAAAAAATCATTCTGAATGACTCCACTGTATTTCTGTTTCAGTTTGACACTAC